ATGGTTTACAAGTTACCTGATCTTTTTTGGGAGTAGGTCGAAGCTTCTCATCTGGTAACTTTTCCTTTTTAGCTTCCACTTTAGCCTCTTTTTCTTCCCCCTTTGTTTTTGGGTTTTTAATAATTTTTTTTAATATTAAAACATCACATCCATTTGCAATTTTGTTTCTCCACATTGTGTTCATGTACCAATCCTGTGCGCAGCCACATCTCCATCATATGCTGCTGTGCCCACATCTCCACGTGCAGTTGTGCTCCCACCACCCTCTCCAAATGCTCCCATTACTCCCCCAGCTGGGCCTTTCCTCCTTGCATGGCATCATGCTCACGTGACCTAACAGAGAGCCTTCTCTTGTGATTGCATTTAACACACACATTCCTCACACAGTTTGCCAGGTGCTCATAATATTTTTTGCCAAGATGTGTCTGTCTCCACCTCATGTATTACTGCATTAGGCCAGCTTACAGCTGAGAAAAAAAGGCATCAAAAAAACATGCAGAGGTCTGAACATGCAGGATTTTCTTTGAATGGTGGAGTGAGGTCAGGCATATTGTGCATAGTATTATTGGTAATCAGAAGTAAGGAGGGTTTTTTTTTAAAGAGAGAACAAGAGAGAGAGCATGAGTATTAGTCATTTCAGTGCAGGAATAGATCTGTGAGGAAATTCCAATTCAAATTTTTTTCTTGCATTACATTTCTCATAAACCACAGGTGTCTTATTTTGGTGCAGAATGTTTACTGTACCTGTTTTCTTAGGAAAGCTGCTTGAGGTTTTTCCTCTTGTACTTGCTTCTCTTTTACCTGTTTATCTTCTCTTTTCTTTTCTTCCATCTTTTGCTTTTCCTTTAATTTCTCTGCTTCTAGCTTAGCCTTTTCTTCAGCTGCCCTCTTTTCCTCTTCTGCCTTAGCCCTTGCTCTTTCCTCAGCTGCCCTCTTCTCCTCTTCTGCTTTAGCCCTTGCTCTTTCCTCAGCTGCCCTCTTCTCCTCTTCTGCTTTAGCCCGCTCTCTTTCCTCAGCTGCCCTCTTCTCCTCTTCTGCCTTAGCCCGCTCTCTTTCCTCAGCTGCCCTTTTCTCTTCCTCTGCTCTCTGTTTTTCCTCAGCTGCTTTCTTTTCTTCCTCTGCTTTTAACCTTTCCCTCTCTTCTGCCTCAAGTTTCTCCCTTTCTTCTGCTTTTTTTCTTTCTTCCTCAGCCTTTTCCTCCTCCCTAAGCTTCTCTTTGTCTACAGCATCAGATATACTCTGCTCCCCTTCCGGCACAGCATTTGTATCATTTTCTGCATTTATAGCTAGATTTTTTGTTTCTGCTACCTCTTCTTTATCTGTGGATTTTTCTGCTATCACATCTACCTGATTTTCCTCTACAGGGACCTCCTTTGGTTTTTCCTCATGTACCTCCTCCTTGTCTTTTTCTTCTTTTTTTTCCTCTTCTTCCCCATCTTGCCTCCAGTTGTTCCTTTGGTATGATTTGGTAACTGTTTCTGTTTCCTCCATCTCATAGCGTCCTCGGCGTGTTTCAGCCTTTTCCTCTTTCCCCGTGGTCTCGTTTTCTTCCACATTGTTTACTTCTCTCCTACTGGGCAGTGACAAGCTCCCATCTGTGATCGTGGGGTCAAACTCCTTTTGACGTTCCAGGGCTTCCTGTAGACGTTTTTGGCGTCTCTCCTCCCGTCTTGCCAGTCTCTCCAACAATGCAGCTTCATCATCTGTTCCCCCTGTGGTTGTAGTACGCTTGGTTTCCTCTTCTGCCACACTACATAAAAACAACAATTTTGCATTTAAAAAAAAAAATAACCTTTCTAACAATGTACACACGTAGCTCTTTCTAGAAAAAATCTTGCTGTAACATCATTCCATGGTTTGAAAACACAAGAGTCTACATACTTCAAAATTTAGCAAAATAGTTCTAGGGATTAATTTTGGCATTTCTACATGTATAGGAATGTGGCATTTCACAACGTCAGAGCCTGGAAAGGTTCCCTTCCAGGACAGCTCCAATAGCCGCTGAAGTCCCCAGGAGTCTTACTGACCTCAGTAGGCACTAGAACAGTCTCTGACACTTGCAGCAGCTGAAATATGAACCCTGAAAATTCATCCTTGCCCCTCTGAACACTGCAGCAGACTACTTGGAACACCTTGCTTTCCTTTCAGGTGCCCTTCAGCTTGGCCCAAAGTGTACATGTCTTATGCACAGTCTTCCCACCAGGCAAGATCTTTGAAGGTGCTAGACAAGGAAGATACTTTCTGACATCAGTGAACTTCTCTAGGAACAAGAATCTACTCCTGCTCAGCAGCAACATCCACAGATATAGTCCATAATGGGATAGCCTATAAATTAAGGGTGCAGTGACGTTGTGATTGTCTGCACAGGGACAATAATCTGTTACAAATCAGAGTGAGCACAGCAGCTAGTTTAAGACATGCTGTTCAACACCTGTATGTATCAGAACTGGATCTCACTCTCAGTCCATGGAACTTTTTTGACTCCTTCAAAATTCAGCTCTTTAATTCTCCTGTGTGCAGATTTCTTCCCTTCTAGCTTGTTTTTCCCTTCTACTGTGGCAAAAGGTTATAATCTACAATCAGACAAGTTGCTGTTTTCCTATCTATATCCATTCTCCTCGTCTTTAATAAAATGCTACTTGTGCTCATTATCCCATTAGCTTGATACCACAATGTTTATTTCTGGTCTCTTCTATCCATAGTGTTATGGCTAATAGAAATCAATATATTATTTGTGACTAGGTGAAAGTGAATAAATGATGGACAGATTGGAAGGCCAGCTTTGCTCACTCAGCTTTTGACAAGTGGCACCTCATTCCATAAGCTTTCCTGCTGCTTATAGCTGTATGACCCTGAAAATGCCAGACAAGGGCCGAGGTCTAACACTCACACCCAGCACCTTGCAGGCATGTTTCAGCTGTAACTTGGGGTTTAGGTGCCCACCAATCCCATGTGCCTTGGCCCCATGACACTATGGCCCCTTTAAGCAGAACAAAAAATGTGGAGGTTTGTGAGGCCAGATGAAGTCATGCCTGATGGCATCTGACAGTAGAATGCAGAGGTATTTCCCTCCATGAGCCCCAGCTGAGTTATCCCATAGAAAGCCCTAACGACACCCTGGGAATTGGTCACATCATGGCCTCAAGTCCAGCTTCAGTGATGTTTCCACCCCCCTGTGTATACACAGCCAGTGGCACTCCTCCCAGTGTTGGGTCCTCTTCAGAGCAAGGAAGGTCAAACCTGGTGCTTAAAATTTAAGTAGCAAACAGACCTCTTCAAGATATCGGTCTACTCTGAATAAAAATTACTGTTGACTTGTGAGTAAACAAGATCAGATGTTTACCTGTTTTGGGCATTAACTTCTGATTTCTCTGTTACTTCTCCTGATAGATCACCTTCTTCCTTTTGCCGCAGCCTCTCCTGTCGAGCCCGTCGGCGACGTTCTCTGGCAGCTTCTTCATCATCGTCATCATTTCTCTGGTAGGACAGCCTGCAACAGAGCATTAGGGACAGGAAAACAAAGGGGTTATAGCATACAGGACAGTCACTAAAGAAATTACAAAAAGCAGTTGACCAGAGCACAGTAAGCATGGCTGCAGTGGCTGTCCCATATGCTGTTTAGAAAATATGCTATGAAGTTGAGAAGTATACTTTCAAAGCTTGGTTTTGTTTTCTATTTCAGAAATTAACTTGACAAAATAGTCACAGTAAAGGCATTAGCCACACTACACTGTCCGTTTGCTCCTAGAAAATACCAAGAGCATAAAAACCCAGCTCTGTAGCTGAGGAAACATCCTGCTAGACTGCACCATGATCCTGCCAGAACGCACACAGCAGCATTTGAGCAGACTATCACTCAAGCCCATGTAACTGAAATAGGACCTAGTCAAGCAGCTTTTCATTAGCATCCTCTAAATATCACACGTGGAAAATGGTGACAGTATTCTAAAACCAAAAGACTAGAAAGCAGGGAGACAGAAGTATGACAATGGCTCTCAGTGGTCGGTTCTGAGTGCCAAACATCTGACACCTGCAAAATTTTTGTGAGCCTGGAGCCCTGCCAGGCCAAATCATACAAGATCGCTGCTGTGATGAAAGCCTACAGCTGAGAACCCATTTTGTTCATCTAACCCAACAGATGACTGCATTTAGTTTCATTCTACTTGAAAAGGAAAGCAAGACATTACAATCCTAATAATCCTGTGGCACATTCAAATCTTTGTTAAGGTGCATTATAACTGTGTGAGATAAAGGGAAAGGTCTGTATCCCTCTTATCTTTTTGTGCAGGGAAAGTGAAATAGGAAGCTAGCACGTGCCAGACCCAGTCAGGACATTCATTTACTTTGCTTCCAGCAATGGTCTGATACATAACGCTTAGGAAGTCACCCTTCCTTACATAGTCAGACATTTAAGTTAGCTGTATAGTCATGCACCAAGGAAAAACAAGCACAGTTAAATCTTGCATTTCAAGGGCTATTTTAACATTAAAAGTGACTAAAACATTTTTATTTAGTCGTGATTCAGACTCTTTGGGTCCAAACCTCTCCCATAACCTTTTTCTAGTACTACTTTTTTCCTTTGCTGAAAAAGGGGTGAAAGTATAGGTTTAGCAGAGAGTCAATTATCCCAATTTTGCTTTAAAAATTAAAAATGGAAGTTAAAAACCCAACATGGCTGAGACACTAGCCAGATCTAAAACAGTATTTTCGGCCTCAGTGCACTGAAGGATTTGATTTGCTGCTTTCATGCTCCACTTCAAGAGCTCACAACCTTTTCTTTGTAGAAACAGCTCCTCTCAAAGAGGGTGAAAACCATGAGCAGCACAGCCATGAAAGATCACAGTAGGGGAAAGAAGAAGAAAGGAAGGAGACCAACTAAAATCACTAGAGGTGATACAGAGAAGGCAAGTAAAAATATTTCCTGTCATTTGTAAGCAATATAAAGGAGGATCAACATTTCATTGCGGTCTAGAACAGAACGCATATGAATACAATAATAAACCAGTGGGGTCTTTACTTGGCAGAGGAAGGAGACTCTCTCTAGAATAATACTGCATTAGCAAACTGATTGCAGAAAGCCCACTTGTTAGTAAAATACTCTGGATGCAAGAAGCCTATGATATTTTTAGCCCTGAACTCCAAATTTAAGGGCACAGGAGAAGGCATGCTGCTCTAAGCCTGTGGCAGCTGTATTACGGTCATGACTGAGTTGATTCCCAGTGCTTATGGCTCAGGATTTCTCTTCGCAGTGAGACCACAGGAGGATGAAGTAGTTTATCCTGCTCTCTGTACCCACACAGAACACTCCTACAGAGCAAGGAGAAAAACTGCTTTTAAAAGCCTCTTTAAAATGCCTTTTGAAAACCACCAGTTACTCAGAAAACTAAAAAAGGAAAGAAAAAAATACCCTAAGCAAAAAACTCCCACAAAATTGTACCCATTAAATAAGTTAAATGAAAGCAGATATGTATTTCCTGTCCTTGAACACTTATCACATAGATCATCTATTAAGAAAGCTAAAAATCTCTCTCAATGTCCTTTTTATGTATATCCACTGCCTCACTGCATATCACAGTGGTTTCTTATAGCGAGCAAGTACACCAGATATGGGCTCCATCCATAAGGATCACTTCAAGTATTAAATTCTGTTCACCAGCACAGATACATGAAAGATTCTCAGTAATCTGGAAATAGTCATATCAACAACTAATAGAAGTATTTTATAGATCTGTATCATATTTGCTTTACAGTTATGTTAACACTACTTCCCAGATTGTATTTCTACAGGCTGTTTTGCTTACCTCAGAAACACAAGCTCTGCTGGAGCGGACCTGACTAGCCACCACAGACTGACAGCAGAGTAGGCTGAAAATCCAGGTTCAGGTTGGCTAAGCTAATTAACAGGCTAATGACCACACTGTGAGCAAAATGACAACAGGATTGTTTATGAAACAATTCAACATAGTCACCGTAACTGCCTTTGACTTTCCATGAGAAATTCAGTCATAGGAAAGATGGTGCAAGTTAGACAAATGCCATTTCTGCCCATAAAAAATCTGCTCAGTGTTCATCTCACTATTCTCTCAATCCTCCTGCACTGAGTTCGTTCACCCTAATCAGCTTCCACATCACTCTCTTTTCCTCAATTACCTAAGTAGTCTCCTCCTCTTCTGCTGCTTAGGGTGTCAAACAAATCTCACATAAAAAGTGAACCACAGGCAGATGCATGAATTCATGTACCCTCCACTGGGAGTCGGAAGACTGACACTCTCGCACTGTGACAGCTCTCCCTAGCTACCTGTCACAAGCAAAACCATTTTGGGATCTCTCCAGAGCTTATCTTCCACTTGCCTGCATCTTTTGACATTCTTTAGACCAAGAGTAAACAAATAATATAAAGTATGACTCCAAAATTTCAGTTCTGTATATCAGACAGATGAAAATCTGATGAGCCACTCTGGCCTGTGTTGTTTCTCCACCCCTGGAGAACAGTCTTGCTGCCCAGCATGCGTACACTTCCCACGACCAAACTAAACTAACCTTATATCTATTTGTCACTTTCTGCATAACTGTTCAAAGTCTTTGCAGGCAAGTCTCTCTCCAATGTTAGCTGTTCCAGCTCTCTTAGGAAATGAGAGCATAACACAGCATGATATCAAAGAGATGTGCCAAGCCCTCTGATGTGTGACACCTCTTGTTAAATATTCAGATGAAAAGATGACTTAAAAACCATCCTACACTTTGTTACCAAAGATGACACGCTCTTGGTCTAAAAGTCAACTAAAAGAAAAAAAACAAAACAAAAAAGAGTTTTGGCTGCTTCTCGTGTAACCTTCTCAATGCTTCCGACATGAGGAAAAGCAGAGTAACCTCTGTGCATAACTGATAAATTTTTCTGGTAAATATTAGTACTGCGTCTGTCATACCTCTCTCACAGCACTACTCAAGTACAGGAGATTGAGCATCTCATCTATGTGAGAGGACATTTCCCACCACTCTAGGTAGGGATAACAAGTAACAACAGATGTTCTGCCCTGTTGAGTGGGTAGGACAGGTTTATATCTCCAGGACTGAAATCCCACACCTGCTGAAGTCAAGAACAAACCTCCTGATTATTTGAGTAAGGCAAAAACATTACCCTCAGACTGAAGTGGGGCACTCTACAGCCTAGAGTGGAAAATACCTCTGCTGGATTGGGAAACTTGGTAATAGCTTGGATGATTATGGGGCTGAAACCATTTTGTACAATCCAGCTTCAAATGGTTTCCACTTGAAACCACACACCAGTTCAAACGTTGTCTTTCCTAGTACTAATATATTATTATTATTGTCTGAATCATGACAGGACTGAAATTTCCTGATCAAGCTCAGGGGCTTCCTGCAGTTGGCATGTTATAAAGACAAGGGAATCACAGAATGGTTTGGGTTGGAAGGGACCTTAAAGATCATCTAGTTCCAACTCCCCTGCCATGTGCCCCAACCCACGTGCAGGACCTTGCACTTGGCCTTGTTGAACTTCAAGAGGCCTGCATGGGCCCATCTCTCAAGGCTCTCAAGGTCCCCCTGGATGACACCCCTTCCGTCCAGCATGTCTACTGCACCAAGTGGAGACCAGTGACGAGTGGCGTTCCACAGGGTTTGGTATTGGGACCAGTGTTGTTTAACATCTTTGTCAGAGACATGGACAGTGGGATCGAGTGCACCCTCAGAAAGTTTGACAATGATACCAAGCTGTGTGGTGTGGTGTGGTGGACATGCTGGAGGGAAGGGATGCCATCCAGAGGGACCTTGAGAGGTTGTAAGCTAAACCTGACGAATCTAAATTGTTTTTTTCATTTTTCAGAGGGGTAGGAAAAAAAGCAATGGCTAATTTAAGCAGATCACACTATTTGAGTCTCGAGGAGGCAGGGAGAAAGAAGAGCTGTGGATCTGAGCTTTGACTCCACCTCAAGGGTGTCAGAAATAGGTGAAATATTTCTGAACAGAACAAAAGCCTTTAAGAGTAGCTTTTTTTACTTAAACAGGAAGCCTAGATCTGTCTCTTCTTTCCCCTATGATTCACTCAAATGTCAGTCTGCCGACCCATTCTCCTGCTTGCAAAAACATCTTCCATTCATAGTGCTGCCCTCCTAACACATACCTCAATTAGATGCAACTGTACCTATTCAGCGAGCTCCTTCCCACACAAATTTGTTACTGAGAAGCCTTTACATCTACTACAGATTGATTTTCTCTGTGGTCCACCCCCAAGAAAGGAGATCATTCATCCTGTATCAAACTGTTGCACCCTCCACTTGCAACGTAACCTGCTTCTAAGACCTAATTCACCCTTCATTACCTAACACCACAGCAGTTGAAATGACATTGATTGATTTGTATATCTCCAAATTAATGGCAGATGGAGGATGTCAGTAAAATGTTCTTGATGACAAATTTCACTGCCAGACTCAGTCTATAGAAGCTGCATTTGTTGGCCTTCTGCACTCTTAG